ATAAATGTTAGTCGTAGCTTATTTATGTCATATAGTATTTTTATATGTAGTATTTTTCTTCCTACCATTAGTTTAATTTTAATGAATTTTAATGATTGATATTTTATATTTTAGTGTTTAGGTTTTATAAAACAAAAATAATAAAATCAATTTATTATTAAACGCGTAACAACGACTCTAACAAATAATTACACGCGTTGCACCATACAACAAATAATTACACGCGTAATTCTGCGCATTAATTGCGTTACAACACATGAAATTATTTTACCACGCAAAATTAAGTAAAACATTAACATTTTAAGATTTTAATAAGTTTAGTAGATCTGTTAATAATGCCTTTTACTTAATACTCCGATTGGTTAGACAATGAAGTACTCCGATTGGTTAGACAATGAAGTACTCCGATTGGTTAGACAATGAAGTACTTGATATTTAATAGTTCGATCTAACAAAAAGGAAATGAGTTTAATCTCGTATAGCATTAAGTCTTGATATTTTTGATGTTTGCTTCTGCCTTGTATTTCAGATAAGTTTATTGAGGCTTTCTAAAGGTTTCCAAAATATTAGGTAATCGGCAAATCGAATTGCTTTTAATTAGAGCAACTTCGTATTAATATTTTGTGAGTATTTGGGGGATACTAGACCAACAATATTTATTTAAAATAATCAGTAAAAATTCTCGGAGATCTCAATTTTTTGCAACATTTTCCGCCTTTATTGTTACTAAAACCATATTTGGGTTGAGAAAAAATGATGCTCAACTTTCCTCTCAACTCTGATTAAATTAATTTTTCCTTCTTTATGATTTTATTTTCTTCATTTATAAACATTTCACAATGTTCTTGTTTTACAAGTTTCTTCAATAAAATATAAATAAAGTACATGAACGACAAGAACAAGAAGAAGACAGAAGTCTTGTCTTTAGTCTCTATAGTAAACGTAAAACATTTTGAAAAATTTCTCATTATATAAATTTACAAGAACTTATTGTATAGAGCAAGTTAATAAATAATTAAAATAAAATACAATAAACTATAACAATAAAATAAATGGATAAAGTAAGAAATTTAACAAGAATTTTTTCAAATTTACAAAATTACTCAAAATTACAAAATAAATTTTGTGTCTGTTAATTCAATAAATACTTTTAACTTTCAGAACATTTTATTGAGGTTATGCTCATTTTTATCAAGAATTATGTTTCAGAGACGAGGTCCTTCGTGTAAATTAAGTAATCAGATTTTTTAAGAGTTGATTTAAAAGTTTTAAAGTTGGTAATTTAAAGTTGCGGTCCTTGTTGTGCACCTTGTTTCTTATGGTTAACTTTGAAAAACCAGTTATTAAAAGATTTTGCAAGCGTGTCATTTTGATATTTAAACATGAATAACAAGTTTTGGAACAGGTTAATCTCACAGCTTGTTTTTGATTCATAAATATTTTTTTAATAATAAAGCCAAGTACTTGCCCAAGCAATATTACAATAGCTAATATAGCTATGGATAAAAAAGTAATATAAATTTTAAGTGCTGCAACTCTATTTAAGGCTAGCTAAGGAATTTGCAGAGACTAGTCGTCAGGCTTAGATTGGTATTGAAATAAAATGTATTTAGTTTTACTTAATATTCAAAAGAGTTTGTTTTATTTGAACCAGTCGATAAGATTTTCCAGCTGTTAATTTACTGTTGATAAAATTGTTTTTATATTGGATTACGTATTTTAAAAAATTAGTGTCAAAAGCAAAAAAATTAAGTAGGTTTACATAAATCAGAAAAAGTTAGAATCCAAGAATAGAGTGTGATGGAACTTCACAATTTATTTTACATGATGAATCATTAGATTCTTGTCTACTAATGAACTGAAATTTAAAGATCTATTTCTTTTTTTTACACAAATTTAAAATCTATTTTTTTTTTCTAGTCAATTAGCTTTGAATTTTTAAAATTCTTTATAGTATTTGCAGTATTTTATAAGCTTACATTATGTTTAGAAATAAAGTCTGTAACATCTTTTCGTATTTCACCTAATTTATTAAAAGAAATAAGTTCAGAAGTTTTAATATTTAAATTCAATAAGATTTTCATTAAGACTTTTATTTTCTAAAAATTTGCCTATTTTAAATAATAGATCCAATCTTCACTAATACCAAACAATTTGGTATCACCTATAAGCAATGTTAAATTTTTATCCTAAAACTGTTGCCAAAATAAATAGTAAAAAATCTCTATAAATTTTGCACTTAATAGTATATTAATAATCATTTTTATAGTTTACATTAACTTACACCCTGAGGTGGGGAAAGTTCGCAAACTTTTTTTTTGCTTATTAATATTTACAAAAAACCCTTTAGGACTACAGAACTCAAAGAGTAAAAGCATAGGCAACTTGCCCAGGTTTCCCCTATTCCCCTATTCTTAAATAAAATCAAAATCTATGGGTAGAATTCAAGTTTCATCAAAATACGATTTGCCGTTTTGAAGTAGGAGAGATCGGAACTGAAATAACCAGGTACTAAAATAACCAGGTACTGAAGTAACCATGGCAAAAAGTCATTAATTAAAATACTTGTTCAACAGACCCGTAGGAACAAAAACAATATTGGGGGGAGGGGGCAGTGAAGGATTAAGAGGCCCCGAAAGAGTTTTAAGGACCTTTTTTTTTTTTAGTCATTTCTTCAGTCAATTTTTTCAAAATTATTTATTCGATAAATTATTGGGAGGGCAAATGCCTCTGCTGCCCCCCCCCCTTCTCGGTTGTTACGGGCCTGTTCAAGGCAATAATACTTGTTCCAAATTCATATTAGTTTTTATTTCTTTAAAAAGTAAAAAGTTTTATAACTGCATCAAGAGGTCCGAAATTATAAAACATTCTAGATTTATGTTATCGAAAGTAATCTTTTATGATTAAATAACATCCATTTGCGTTTAGATGTTTTTAAAATAGATTTTGATAAATATGAGTATACAACATAGTTTATACAGAATATATTGCAAATCAAAAACAAAAGTAAAAGTTTTTAAAGGATAAGCTTTTTATTTATGTTTTAAGTAACTAGACGACTAAAACTGAAAAGCGACGAAATTAGGTATTAAATTAACCAAGTATTTCAGCAAAAAAAAAAATACATTTCTGCACAATTATAATTCTTTTTCAAATGTGTGATTTCAAAACTTTATTTTGCAATTGTTTTGCAATTTTTATAACCTAATTTTTTTAAAAATTTAATAATTGTTGGAACGTACTCTTACGCAATTGTAATTGTGAAAAAATGTTTAATTGTAAAACTTGTGATCCCCATAAATTAATAAATATCGTAATAAGAGGTCAACAAGTTATTTCTATAGTGCAACAAAGAAAAAAAACAATATAAGTTTTATTTTAAGTTTGTAAATCTCATATAAAAATGTTATAAAATTTAAATGTTTATACTATGAAACCGTAAGTTATTTTATTGTAGAATCAATGATGAAGTATCTGCAAAAAATGGTGGATGGTTACAAAAATGGTGGATAGTCACCAGAATCAATGGTCAGAGCAGTTGGGGGCGCTCGAAATAAAATTCTTACTGAACGAAAGCTGCCAAAGCATATATACAAACCTAACTTTAGAATGTGTACAATTTCTAAAAATAATTTTACTAAATTTTGGTCGAAATATTTTGTTCTATTCACTATATTATGTTAAAATGACATTTTGACATTATTTGTATAATTTTTCTAGGCTCATTAACTACAAAAAATTAGTTTACTTTAATATTTTACGTCTGATAAAAGATAAAATTCTTTGACTTTTTGCTATTTTTAAGTAAACTGGTGCGACATGGGAATCCTCCGGCATGCGACAAAGTCAGGTAAAAATATCGCAATAACATTTTCAGTTTGTTGTAATTTTTTACATAGTAATTTGAGATTTAAATAATAATACATAAGGAGTAGAGCCTGTGGACACGTACATGGTCGTCCCTAGAAGGTAGGGCGTAGGGGTGTCTAGCCCTCCTATGAAAAATTTATTTAAAAAAGGCAGTCGACAAATGTCAGTAAAGAATGACTTTTTTTTTTTAGTTATGGTTCGTCCATAAAGTACTTACGCTTTTTTTTCGTCGACTCAACCCGCATTTTGCAAAACGTTTTTTTGAGTATCCTACAACCACCCTAAAAGTACCTACGCTTTTAACCTATTTAACTAACGTTTTATAATATTCTTTTTAACTTAGTGTCTCCTTTCTTTTATATTTGACCCACTGCCCTCCCATCTCAAATGCGCTATTTGCAGACCCCTTTTTCCCCTCCGAGCGTACTTACTTTATGAACGATCCCTTACTACTCGACAAAAAAACGATGTCATCAAACCCCACCCCACCCCCTCTACCTCCTGAAAGATCTTCCTGTACACGCACTCTACTTGGTGGACGAGTACTTAGTAATAGTAAACAGAAAAAAATATTAACGTGGCATGCGGTCTGTCGGTTTTTAAATAAATAACTAAAGATGCCACACAACACAATCTTTTTTCTGATTGGTTCATTGTATGATCACCCGCAAAGCATGATTTTTATTTGTTAATTCAAATGCAACGTAATCAAAAGTTAGCTTTAAAGCTACATTATTTTAAGATGGAAAACAGTTAGCCTGCTTCAAAGCATTGAGAATCTATATATTTATACAGTTTTTTTTTTATAAAGACTAATATATAAATTGACAAAATCAAATCCCAAAACAGTGAATTTGTGTACAATTCCGACTTGTGTAAAATTCCGGCTACCTGAACAAAACTCCGGAGTTGATGATACTTTTAAAAAAAACTTATTCAAATAATTGTGTTTATAACATAATAGTAATTAAAATAAATAAGTAATATCAAGAAATTAGGAAATTATAAAAAAAAAGAGTTTTTTTATATATATAAAAGTTACTTTAAAAGTTAACTTTTGGACTCTCAGATAAAAAAAAGTAACTTTACTTTGACTAACAGACAAAAAAAAAAAAAAAAAGATACTTTACCTTGACTCACAGACCAAAAAAAAAATAATAGAGCAGCTCCTTGAAACATTGTATAATTTATCTCTTTTTTTTTCAAATAATGTTTTTAAAATTTTGATTTTTAATCAATTAAATTTGAACAGATAACTAAATATATCTTTTGTATTCTATGCTTAAACTCGATGCTTATAACATCTGATCAAACTTAAAAAGTTTCTTTATAGTGTGTATATTTAGGTATATATGAATATATATATATATATATATATATATATATATATATATATATATATATATATATATATATATATATATATATATATATATATATATATATATATATATATATAAATTACGTTAGTGTATTCTAATAAAGTGCTCAATGCTCTTAAAGAACAGAGCAATAATAATTTAGTAAAAACACTTATCTAATTTTTGTACATAATTAATTATAACAATTCCCAACTTCTTGTGAAATAATTTTTTCTATAATTTGAATTTTTAATGTTTAGACCTTCTTCCTGATGAACCTACTGATGGTGAAACATGCTGTTTGCACAAAAATTAGATAAGAGTTTTTACTAAATTATTATTGCTCTGTTCTTTAAGAACATTGAGCACTCTATTTATAGAATACACTAACATAATTTATATATTAAGCTACAGGTTTATACTTGTTGAGCACTCTTAATTGTATTTTACATAACATAAACATTGAAACTAACAATTTTAATTATTCCCTAAAAAATATCCCAATCCCAGACAAAAAAAGTTATACTATTTTTTTAATTGAAAAAATAGAACACTTTATTAAAAGAATTCGCAGGAAAGCCTATTTTTTCTTAGAATCTGAAAACAATAAAAATTCTACAATTGAAAATAACGAAAAAGAAAATTTTGGATTCAAAACAAAAAACGCCCCACCATTTATTCCCAACCTAGAAAACTTTGGAAACGATTTACTACACTTGATTAAAACAAAATTTTGAAATATTAACAATGATTTCCAAAAGGAAATTATCGTTAATATTTTAAAATCATTGTTAACTTAAATTAGACATTAGTAATATAAGACAGGGCCGACGACACCGGGGGGCCAGGGGGCACGTGCCCTCCCCCACTTTTTTCCGGAGAACTTTTTTTTTTTTTTTTAATTTGTTTTTTAAGATATAGAGGACTATTTTTACAAATTGATGATTGTGCCCCCCCCCCCCGAATTCAAAAACCGCGTCGTCGGCCCTGTAAAATCAAACCCTAATACTTTAGTTTTTGCTGATAAAACAAAGCAACATATATCAAATTGCCCCAGATAACCACCATAAATTATTGCGCGATAATATTTCTAATAATAACGCAAAAACCCCATAAAACTTAGAAAATTCAATTAATTTAAAAGGCCAAAACATTGATAAAACAATTAATTTAGAAGCTAGAATTGAATCAGTCGCACCAGCACAAGCGTTTATCACACTAAAAGATCATAAACAAAATTTTCAAAATAATATCCCTTGTAAGCTTCTAGTACCCTCAAAAAGTGAACTTGGGCACGTTAGTAAAATTAAATTAGACGAAACAAATAATATTATTCGAAATAAATTAAATTTGCAACAGTGGAAAAATACCACTGATGTTATAAATTGGTATTCTAAAATTAGTAATAAAAATGACTGCACATTTATACAATTTGATATTAATGATTTTTATCCCTCAATTACAGCCGAAATTTTAGATAAAACAATAGAATTTGGAAAACTCCTCACTGAAATTACAGACGACACTAACGTCTAATTAAACATTGCAGAAAAACTTTACTCTATTTTGATAACGATACGTGGAAGAAAAAAACCACGCACGAATGCTTTTATG